CACCCATTTCTGCTCCATCCCCCTAGTCTTTAAACACTTCCAGCGCCAATGTTCTCTTTCTAGTTACTGGTACTCCTTTATTAAAGCATAGACAAAAAAAACTTTAGTTTTTGAATTTATTGCATATTAAAAATAAGATTAAAGTTAAGTTGAAATATACTGTTATTCGAACTTTTACACCATTAGCTCCATTTAAGTCCTTTAACAATATTGAAACTTTTGTTTTGCAATGTAATTGAATAAAAATTTTTGTTTTTGCGGCAGAAAATGGAACAAAAATTTAGCTACTGAACTATTAACTTTAAAGGTTTACATCTGTTTGTGTGATTCTTTTAAATATATTTTAACCTACAAATTCTCTCAAGACCATCTATATTTACTTTTTGCATGAAAAAACTTTTATAAGCATTTTATAATTATTAAAACGTGTTTTTGAATTATCTTTAATTTATTAAGAACTTTTGATGCTCATAGCTTGCTTTTTTCACTTTTATTCCACACATCGGCTTCAGCTTTTGCCTATTTTTCGTCTGACACAAACGGCAGAAGCGGCTTCACTTTTTGTCTAATAAATCCCGCTAGTTAGACATCTACTTTATATAATATTTTAATATTCGAAGCATTGCAAATAAAATATCGAAGTTAAAAAATTTGTAAACAGTATTAAGAGTTAGTTTATTGTTATTTTTTAAGTTATGCTTTATGAACCACTAATAATAAATTTCTTGATTAGAATTAAATTAATAAATGTCTAGAAAAGGATTAGTATTTTTTTTGCTGAATTTACAAAATGATATTTTATATCTATATATATTTAGAATATTGTAATTTATTTTTAAATTCAGCAAATACACAACAAAGCAAAATGAGTATAATAAGTTCTTTGCCTAAAAAACGTTTTTTAAGATCCTAACAAACCAATAGCTAAATGGGGAAGCAAAAGATATACTTTAACTAAAGAGTAGAGATTGTCTAAAACTTTGATATTTATATCTAGTGTCGAGGTATTAAAAAAACGATTATTTACGTTGATCATAATTTATAATGTGATTTCTACTTGATAGTTGGAAAAGTTGTTAAAAACGTATCTAATTAACTTTTAAGAAAGAAATCCATTTTGATTACAGCTTACAAAGGTTACAAACTAAATTTCTAACTTTTCTTTTTCCAACGCAAAGGCGCCTATTTGACTTGCCTCTGGAATAATAGGGTACCGTTTGGCTTTCGTCACGCATAAATTAAATGAATTAAAACTAAGGATTCTGGGATTGAAATGCGGGCAAACAACTTATAAATGTATAACAACAACAATACAAGTTTTTTAGATTTCAATCCAAACTCTCAATATCTTTTTGAATTCTAGTTTAGTGTTGGTGAATTTTTGAGAGCTGATTAAAATGAAAGTTTTAATTTTAATCAGTTAGTTTAAATTTGAGATTTTAAAGCCTGATTACTCCTAGTTGTTTATTTATCAGTAGATAGTTTTCTTTGGCAATATGAAAACCTAAACAAACGAATGAACTTGATGAATTTTTTTACGCTCAGAGTGGGCATATTTTCCAAAATTTAACTATTTACCTAATTACTAACTAATTACTTCTATTAAGCACTGAGAGTAAATGCTTGAATAAAAAAAAATTTGACAAGGTCAAAAAAATATTAACATAATATTATTTATATTTTTAAAAAGTATTAGTTAATATGTATATAAATTTCTTTTTAAAAGTTGCAACCAAATAAAATAAGTACATATTTACAAAAATGTTTATGAATAAGTTTTAATCCACTAATTTTCAAAAAGTTTAAGTTTTAACTCTAAAATGATTGTTTAAAATGATTTTTAATATTTTTAAATTTACTTTTTGGTTTGTATTAGTACTTAGTTACGTATAAGTATATTTTTTTTTTTTTTTTTTTTTTTTTTGTATTAGTACATAGGGTGGAATGCAAGAAGCAAACTTGAGTCAAGTTCGACTTGAACTTTATTTTGTAACCAGTAGCGGCAGAGTATTTTTTGAGGGGAAAACCCATACTCTGTCGCTATTGGTTGCAATGTAAAGTTCAAGTCGAGCTTGATTCATGTTCGCTTTTTGCACTCCACCCTTAGTTACGTAAAAGGATTACAAAAAGGAATTTTTATATACACATAGAAAAAAAATCTTAAAAATTGCAATTTGCGAAAAAAAATAATAAAATAAATAAACTGTTAAATTTGTAAATTTGACAAAGACATTCACGCGACAAGTGTTGTTAGAATATTACCAATTATTAAGTAACTAATTAAAATTTCAATTATGAAGTAACTAACTAAAATGCTGGTACCAATAAATAAAGTACTACTCCATTTCTTAATTAAAAGAATTTTTATTTGAATCGTCAGAGCGGAAGACACAGGGGAGGAAAGGAGAGACATGTGTCCCTCCCACCCTCCTTTTATTTTTTAATTTTTTTTGCGAAATATTTATATGTAGAGGACTTTTGTAAAAAATTTATGTGACCCTTCCACTTCGAAACCCGTGTCGTTGGTCGTGATTATTTATTTTAATTTAAATCTGAATAAATATTTTTACTAAACCAATCAAAAAAACTTTTACTTTTGACAATTCTTTTTGATTGCATGGCTTTTTCTTTTGTAAACTTTTTCGTACCTTAAAATAGTGCAATATAAATAGTTGCATGTTTCTGTATAAGCGAGTTTTTTTATAGACAAGAAAACAATCTTGTCTATACAACAAAGTTGATAAACTCCATGATTCCATACTACTGAAATAAAGCCATATTACTAATGCTGCACTGATATAAATTTGATACACTCTTGTGCTTTTTTATAGATAACTATTAAGACTTTGTTTTAACCCTCACACTCTATGTATTAAAATATAAAAGTTGATAACTTGTTGATCTAAGATTATAATAGTAGAAAATTGAGACTCATTAAAGCGATAAAATTATATTTATAATAAGTTCATATAATAAAAGACTAAATGATACAAAAAATCAACAATAAAATCATGACTAGTTACAGCATTAAATTCTAAAATGCATTCTGCATTTATATCAGAACTATTTTTTTTTATATTACACCAGCTGGCAAACGTTCAAGGTAACAACAATCTGATGTGTTTTTCTATCTCGCAACGCATATCTATTTTTTTATTACTAGAAACCTGCCACTACAAATAACAAAAAAATTTGAAATTCACAACTTTTATACAGATTTTCTTCAGAATTGGTATGTGAGGTTTATTTGCAATTTTTTTTGTTTGTTCGCATTGATCCCAGATTTTGTTTGTTTGCATTGATCCCAGAAAGCTTTGCTAAAATTTTATCAAATCTATTTTTAAGATGAAGGGGTTCAAATTTTTAAAAAATATTTTTTTTTTGTCCATAATATGAAACGTTTGACCTTTTCTTGGACAAATTTAAAATCAAACGATGTTTTAAAATAAAAATATAATAAAATTTTTTTCTATCTTGCAACGCTTATCTATTTTTTTTTTACTTCCCAGCCGGTTCAAGTCGTCTATTAGACGTCTATTTCGCTACTCATTTGTCTTTAGACGTCTTAGACAGTTTTGAGATATCTAAAAAACGTCTTAAATAAAGATGTCTTAGACATTCTTTCTTGAAGACGTCTTGAAGATGTTTTAATTCTTGCGTTTTAAAAAAAATCACGTTTACGACGTCTTCTAGACGTCTAAATTTAGACGTCTTGAAGTAAATTATATCCATTCATTATTTCAATCAAATTTGAACAAACATAAAAGAAACGGCAGTCATGAATTTTATATGGAAAAATCAGAAGTAATATTGTGATCTAATCAGTTACAATTAAATAAGAGTGTAATGGAGGTCGACTAGATTATATTCTAAACTAAGTAAAATTTTTATCATGCAAAATTTTTCAGAATAGATTATAATTAATGTAATTAAGCTGCAGAATAGATTATAATTAATAATATTATAATAATAATATAATACGTAATAATAGAACCTATAATATTCGGCTATATTAATAGACTATACAAATATTCACTCATAATGATGTTCATATAGCCTATCATGAAATGATAAAGGTTTAGGTATATACCTAAACATTTATCATGATAGGCTATATTAACACACATAATTAATTGTGAATCATGATTGACTATTTGTATAGTCTATTGTTATAGCCTAATATTATTGGACAAACATACAAATTACATACGTATATAATTTGTTGCATGATAATTTCCATGTTTGGCATTATGAAACAAAAGTCAACTTTATCAAATACATTTTTAGAAATTATTATTTTATTTTGCAAACTTACTTTTTGCAAAATAAATGATCTACAGATAAGCATTTATCAGCAAGACACATAACCACAAATCTTTCATTTAAATACCAATTGTGTTTTTCAAGTGACTTTAGTACGGCCTCTGCTGGTTTAAGACATAATTCAGAATGTTGTATCATTTCATTAATGGCTTTTAGATCTAAAGAAGGTGCTATGGCAGGGACAGGAGCTTTAATAAACCATGTAACATAAAATAGTGCTGTAAATGAACCAATTTCATGAATCAGCTTTCCTTCTTGTAATGATATTATATCAGGACATAAGTTACTGAATTGAGGCTGTAGAATGTCGTATGTTAAATAATAAACGCCCTGTGCCATAAACCTGGCATGATGAGAAGCCATTGGAAATCTAAAGTGAAAATCTTTTACTTTGCCACCTAACCAAAGAACTGCTAACTGTATAAAATACTTGTAGTCATTTCTTGGAAATATATCATTATCGAGGCAATTTTGAAGGAATGTTAATGATTCAGAAGCCTAAAATAAAAAATAAAAAAAGTTTATTATTAAAACTTGTAATCAAACAGATTAATCTAATTAGGACAATCAAACAAACCTGCTTTTCCAAAAAAGATTTAATTTTTTTTTCAATCATAATTTATCTTCTTTTCAAGAGTCGATTTAAAATTACACTTTAGCCTTTCAAATGACTCAGTCTTCGGTCAACTTGTTTTACCTCCAGTAAGAACACTTGAAAAGTGCTAAAATATATTTATTTCAAATCACTTAACTAAATTTTAATAATAAGGTGAATCGATATTAAATTCATCGAGAAATATTAAATAAATAAATATACAAATATTTTATGACTTCTTTTCAATATTTACCTTTATATGTAATTCGTAGACATGATGACGACAAGCCATCCAAATCAAAGCTTTTCCTCTCCACTGCTCAATAAGAGTACAGACTCCTTTTAGCCAATCAGTATTTGTGACTGTGGTGTCAAAGGACAGACAATCAACATCGTCAAATAGCTTCCAGTCTTGTAAAGTTTTTTTGATTGCTTTCCCAAGAGACTCAGCAGTGCTATCTTTCACAATTAAAATACCCAAAAGTTGGGATTCTGAAAGATCTGGTGAACTGATTAGCACAGCTAATCTTTCAACTTTTTCTTTACCAATTTCTCTCAATTCTACCATAATTTTGGAGTCAAAATGCACGGTAAGACTTTTACCCTTAGCCAATATAATAAATTTGTCTTTAATTTTACAGGCATTTGTACTTATACTTGATTTTTTCTGCCTCAAAATACTTTAGAAATAGAAAAATCATCTGTTGTTCCAGAACTGTTATTTATAAGAGAAGCAAGAGTTGCACTCAGTGCAGTCGAACTTATTCCATATCGTGATGCTGTTGGAGCTAAATCTTTTCCTATATTTTTAGAAACTATAAGAGGAACAGCATTAGATTTTTTAATTTTTATAGAAGGCTGTAGATACTGTTCATCTTGGTCATCAAATTTCTCAGTAACCAACTCTTTTTGTTTTCTTATGGACTCTTTTATACTTTGATTTTTTTTTTTCATTTCTCTTTTTCTTTTATTTTTTACAATATTTTGTGAAATTTTATATTTACCCAACATTTTCTGAACACGCGCTCCTTTCTGGTTGTTAAGAAAATCTACATCCTCTCTTCTAGTTTTTAAATCTTTAGTTTTATCTTTCATAATAGTATGTTCACAATTGTTTTGACTTACATCGAATACTTCCTCTAGCATTCTTGAAAAAGTTTTTCTTTTTAAAACTAAATTTTTACTTAAACAGTTCCTGTGTTTGTTTAAATCTTTTCTCTTCTTTTCTAAGTCAACAATCTCTAAAACAAAAAGTAAAAGAATGCATTAAAACTGTTGTAATTTATTATAAATATATAAAATGTTATGACTTTATAATTGTTACTTGTATAATATCAATTTTAAACAGGATAAAACTAAAAATTAAAAAGCATTTTAATATAATAAAAAACTGATATGCTTGTCAGTATTAACAAAAGGAATTCCTGCTATTTGCCAAATTTTTTTTACCTCGTAAAGGACGCATGGTAGACCATTTTGGAGACAACCACTTATTTCAGCACATTGTGCAGTGAAGAAATCACCAAGTGGACATGAAGCTATACTAACTGATTAAATGTTTGGAAAATCAGCTCTTAGCATAAGATCTCTGTAATGGTAATATTGCAATACAGTTCTTTTAGTTGGATAGGTATTGTTCCGATTCTTTTTACAACAAGAAAAACTTCACAGTGAGATTTTTTACCATAGCCATTGCTTGTTGACATTGTTTTTATTTACACTTAAATAAAAATTTTAAAAATTACGGATTTTTTTTTAATTGATCCCCTCCCCCTCTAACTCCCAAATATACACAGCATGTCTTTAAATGGGTAGGGCTGACCATTTCATTTCATTTTTTGCAATAAAACAAAATATAATCTTAAATTAGATTTATCAGGCAACAAAAATAACCTTAAAGATATCTTTGAAATATTTGTAAGTGACCCAACCCCCCTCATTTACAAAATGTAGAAATTTTCAAAATTTCGGACTGCTGGGACCGACCATAGGAGTACCCATAAAAAAAAAAAATTATATATTTTTAATACAGATATCAAAAGGAACCAGAAAAACTATTGTGGTATTTTTTTATTAAATTAGGTGTTTTATGCCCCACCCTAATTGGCTGAGTGAATAAAGAAAAAGCAATCGCTTTTACTCAGTAATTGGTCAGCTTTACGTAAATGAAAACTTAAGCAATTTTGCTCAAGTTTTTATTTACGTAAAGCTGAACAATTACCGAGTAAATTGCTTAAAAATTGAATAAAAATTAGAGCAAAACTTCTATTATTTTTACTCACGTAAAGCTGACTAGTTACTGAGTAAAAGCAATTGTTCATTTTTATTCACCCGGCCTAATATATATATATATATATATATATATATATATATATATATATATATATATATATATATATATATATATATATATATATATATATATATATAAAATTCTTCTTATTGTAATTATTTTTAATGTTATTATTATTTTAAGAGTGCCTGCAAATTAGAATGACTGGTGAGAAGACTCAACAGGTTATTTTACTTACAACAGAGTGTTAACATAAAAAATATTATTACTGATAAATTTTTATTTATTCTTCTTCTTATTGTAATTATTTTTAAAGTTATTATTATTTTAAGAGTGCCAGCGAATTTGAATGCCTGGTGGGAAGACTCAACAGATTTTTTTACTTAAAACAGAGTGTTAACATAAAAAATATTTTAGTTGCTAGCAGGGGAACCGGGAAATTTTTTTTATAGTTTTTAAAAGAGTTTTTTGTCTTTTAGAAATTTTCTTGGCCCACTTATCTTGTTTGGCCTTGGGCAAATGTCGACTGTGGTTACATTCTATCTGCACTGTGGGTAAATTTTATATTTTGGTTATTAATTATCTTAAACGTAAACAAACATAAAATATGACTTGTTAAGTATAACCCGGCTGGCACAAGTTGTACAAGAAGGAAAGGTACACAACAGAAGAAAAAAAGGTAGACAAGAAAATTAGAAGGTTATTTATTGCGAGAGAAATTGATAAAATTAAATATTAGGGAGCTCAATTTATTTGGTATTTAATGGTATATACTAAATTTGAATATTAAAGTAATTGAGAATATTGTATAAACTGTCTCGAAATCGTTTGAACTGTATAATATAATTTTTAATGATAAAAAGTACATTAAATATTTATGTTTTTTAGGTTTTCAACAACAAGTTCATGGCATTCCAAAAAAGTTGTTAAATGGATGAGCGATATATCCAACAGTTTGTCTTTACCAACAACTTGAAATTCTCAACAACCTCCAGTATCTTTATTTGACATTGAGTGTATAAAATGGAAAGAGAAGTTTATCTTGTTTGAAGAAAATATGAAAATGTTTTCATTCATCACTTAAACAAAAAGTAAAATTAGTTAATATGCTGGTATTATTATTTGTATCAAATAATGGTGTTTGCTTATACTTAATTTATTTTATATAATTATGTGTGTGTGTTAAGGCTCTTAGATACTGGTAGTTTAATGTGACTTTTACTTCTTAGATTGTAAACTAAAAGGCTTGGTTACAAAGATACGATTAAGTACATAATGAAAAGATTTGCCATGCGTGAAATAAAGAGTACCGAAATAAGTCGAAATAAGTTAGCTTTTGGGTTAACCGAGAATTACAAAACAGTATATGAAATAGTGACGTTTAAGTTCACGAAAATGACGAAAAATGAGATTATCAAGCTATTCAGAACCTACTTAGAAATGCCCCTGCACGAGCAAAAAAGAGAGTTGTATAAAAATGACAGTTGTTTACACAAATTTGTTTAATGTTTTATTGAAAATATATAATCTCTTTTATGTTTTGGTTATGAATTATTCTAAACGTATAAAAATAACTCAAATATAATAAACTATAACTTTAAATATAATTTAAGTGCCCAATATATTGAGTGAGCGTCTGTTAGACGTTTTAGCAAGACGTCTTAAAGATGTTAACAAATAGACGTCTCAAGACGTTCTTTAGACGCTCAGGCGAATTTTCAATCAGACGTCTTAGAGACATCTAATACTATACCTCTTATAGACGTCTAACACAGTACGTCTTACAGACGTCTATACGAGACGTCTAAAATGTGTTTAAATATGTTAACAGATAGACGTCTTAAGACGTACTTGAGACGCTGACTTAAGTTACCGTTAGACGTCTAATAGACGTCTTTTTGCCGGCTAGGTTCCCAGTAAACATAAGACGTATTCTAGATGTCTATAGACGTCTAAAATAGGTCTAGATTCAGACGCATTGATAAAGACATTTATTAGACGTCTTCTATACTGGAAAACTTAAATGTCTTTGACAAAGATATCTTTTATACGTCTTTAAAAATGCGGCTTCATTAAAGACATTTTATGAGGGCGCGTTTTAAATTTTTGAAGCAAAACTTAAGACGCTTTACATTTTTTAAACTTATAAATAATATATACATATATATATATATATATATATATATATATATATATATATATATATATATATATATATATATATATATATATATATATATATATATATATATATATATATATATATATATATATATATATATATACATATATATATATATATGTATATATATATATATATATTTGTTAATAAAGATCTAGAGTTTTTGGGCTTTAAAACACAATAAAAATATTCACACATGATTAATATTATTATAATAAAAATAAACAAAATTTGAAATTTAGACAAAGTCAGACAAAATATGAAAATGATATGTTGTCTGACTTGGTAACGCATGAGGTTTGACGAGCAGTGTTGCAACAGATGGGTTTTTTCGTAGGAGAGTGCCGAAAAATTCTTTTTGAAATTAAATTCTTATTGAAATTAATATATCTTATAAAGAATTTTTCGGCACTCCTACAAAAAAAAACCAGACAGTAGGCACGATGTCGACAAGCACTTAATTTAAAACTGCAATGTAAAATAAAAATTTTATTATTTTTTATTATGCGTTATTACTATTACATTCTATTAAATTGGTAAGTGTTTCTATAAACTTACCGTAAATTGAACTGCATTAAATGGAAAAATGTCGCAATTATTACAGCTAAAGTTATCACATTTCCTTAAATAATATAAAAAATAATTTTTATTCTACGTAAGTAGACGTCTTTATGACATAACTAATGCTAGTATTTTTTTTTATATAAAAATACCCTTGTTATCAAATAATAAAATGACTTATGCATAACGATGATCGAGAATTTAAATATTGCTAAAAGTTTTGAATTTTAGTTCAACAAAAAGAAGTGTTAATCGTTTTAAAACAAGAAACTTACATGTTTAAAATAAAGGTTATAGTAAAAAAGTATTTTGTTTTTTCATTATTTTAACTATAAGTTTTTGTTTATATATATATACATAAATCTTCTATATAATATTGCCGAACTTAATAGTTTTAATAGTAGTGTCCCTTGGAGCGTATTTGAAACGAAACCCTTGGCAGCCATTGCAACCGAGGTATTGGCAAGAAAGAGTCGCACCGCTATAAGAAAACGTGAACGAACATCTAACGTACGTAAACTTTAACTTATGTAATGTTAAAGCATATGTTAAAACATACTGAAACATTTATCACGTTTTACAGTTTGATTTTTACTTGAAAATTACATTGCGTCAACCTCTCCTTAATTTTGATCTAACATTT